AACTGTCAGGGTGGTTAAACACTGGAATAAATTGCCTAGGGAGGTTGTGGAATCTCCATCTCTGGAGATATTTAAGAGTAGGTTAGATAAATGTCTATCAGGGATGGTCTAGACAGTGTTTGGTCCTGCCATGCGGGCAGGGGACTGGACTCGATGACCTCTCGAGGTCCCTTCCAGTCTTAAAATCTATGAAAAAAGCAAAAACTTGTTTTGTTTTGTTTTAAATTAAATTACTTGAAAAACTTGTCCTACACTTTAAAAAAAAAATTAAATGGTGAAGTTATTTGTTGCAAGCAGCTTGCAGCCCTCAAAGACCAAGTACAGGCTCCTGAGACCAGAGGAGCTGAGCTAGAAGAGCGAAGGGAGACAAATGTACATAGACGAGGCTTTCTGGAACACCGTACAGTGGTCCCACCTTCAGTCTGATAGCCTCTGTGCTGTTGAGGAGGATGAAAGTCTTGGGGAAGGAGAACATCAAGCTGGAGCGGAGGGAAATGCTCCCATAGTTGGGACCCTTCTTCCGGATGATGTCATACTATCCTCTCACACTAAGTAAACCTCTCAAGGTGCAAGGACCCCTGTTATTAGGAAGAAATAGGTAATAGTAATGGAGGATTCAGTTATTAGAGATAGTTGAGTTTATGGTGACTGGAAGAAGTACATGGTAAATTGCCTGCCAGATGCAAAGGTTGCAGACCTCTTGAGATATCTAGACAAACTTACGTGCAGTGCTGGAGAGGAGCCAGTGATCATGATATACATAGGTATCAATGCCATAGGGAAAGGTAGGAGAGAGGTCCTGGAGGCCAATTTTAGGTTGCTAGGTAAGAGATTGAAGTCCAGGACTTTCCTGGCAGCATTCTCTGAAATACTTGTAGTTCCATGCCTAGGGCCATTTAGACAGGCAGAACTGCAGGGTCTCAATGTGTGGATGACACAATGGTATTTGCAGCAGGGATTTAGGTTTATTAGGAACTGGGGGAAATTTTTGGAAAGGAGGAGCTTACACAGGAAGGATGGACTCCGCCTAAACCAAAATGGAACTAGATTGCTGGCATGTAAAATTAAAAAGGACTTAGAGGAGCCTTTAAACTAAGGGCTGGGGGAAAGCGGACAGATGTAGAGGAGCATACGGATCAGACAGAAACAGCCCTTAGAATATCCTCTAATAAATCCTCTCCTATCTACCTAGTCTAGTAAAGAGGAGAGGATAGAAGTTGATAAAGTATAGGTAGGAACTGAAGAGAAACTGTCAAATGAAAAAAAGTCCCATTATATTACATCACATGAAAGCAGACAACTAATACGGACAAATTTTATAAGTGCTTATATACAAATGCAAGAAGTCTAAATACTAAAATAGGTGAACTTGAGTGCCTGGTATTAAATGAGAATATTGGTGTAATAGGCATCACAGAAATTTGGTAGAACAATTATAATCAATGGGATTTGGGAATACCACGGTACAAAATATATAGGAATGACAGAAAAGGTCGCACTGGTGGGGGAGTTGCATTATATGTGAAAGAAAGCATTGAGTCAAATAAGGTAAAAATCTTAAATGAATCAAACAGTACCATAGAATCTCTATGGATAGAAATTCCATGCTTGAATATTAAGAGTATAGCAGTAGAAATATACTACCGACCACCTGACCAGAATGGTGTCGGTGATTGTGAAATGCTCAGGGTGATTAAAGAGACTACAAAAACAGAAGCCTGAATAAGAAAGGGGGTTCTTCTTCGAGTGCTTGCTCATATCCATTCCATTAGGTGTGTGCGCGCCGCGTGCACGATCGTCG